CCAACCAGGATGCATCCATTAAGCGTCTCGAGACGCAAGTAGGCCAGCTGGCCACATGGGTGGGGAACATTGAGACTGAAATAGATAAAGGGAAGCTACCGAGCCAGCCAGAGCACGCAAAGTCGGTTGCCGTGATTATGCCCGAGCCAGAGGTCCCAATCCCAGCCACACCGCCACCCGAGCCCACTTTACACAGAGCCCCGAACTCATACAAACCGAAAATTCCTTTCCCGAGCCGGCTTCTAGAGGAGAAAGATCGTAGAATGATCTGGGACTTGCATGCAATGTTGGCCAAGGCCAATGTCGACCTATCCCCACCGGATGTGATCAAGAAGATTCCGGAGTATGCAAAATTTTTCAAGGAATTGGGGGCAAGTAAGCAGAAGCTCGAGAGTAATGACGAAATGTTGGTGTTTGAGGCCGCAAGTGTCTTCCGTCATGACTTGCCGAGGAAAGAAAAGGATCCCGGGGGCTTTGTTATCACTATGGCCTTCGGGAATGGGGAAGAGACTTCGGGCATGCTCGATTTGGGAGCTGGCATTAACCTCATGCCATTAGCAGTACACCATAGGCTCGGGCTTGGAGAGTTGAAGCCCACCAGGATGCGCCTTCAGCTAGCTGATCGGTCATTTCGTCACCCTGAGGGTATTATAGAAGATGTGCTCGTCCGAGTAGGGAAGCTGATAGTTCCCGTGGACTTTGTCGTGCTTGACGTGGGGAGCGTACAAGAAAATGGTAAGGAGCATTCTATCCTCCTCGGACGACCTTTCATGGCGACCACGAGCACTGTAATAGATGTGAAGAAGGGGACAGCTAGCTTGACAGTATTGGGCGAGTCCATTACCATCTCGGTTCGAGAAACCAGGCCTGAACCGCAGGCGAATTTGGTTGAAGATTGTGCTTACCTCAGGGCTATTGAGCAGCTCACCGAGAGCGCGTGTATGCGAGAGCTTGCCAAGAGATCACACACCTCCCACCAACCTATTCCGAAGGAGCTGCCCCGATCTGAATGGGGCGAGAGATTTGAGCGGACAGAGGCCCGCCGTTATTCGGGGCCTGACTTCCTCCACCCTCCACGAGCACCACCGGATTCACAGTGACTAGTCTAGTCACTGTGCCCTGTACGTTTGTATCTTTTCCTTTCTCTTTATTTTCGTTTTGGTTTTGTGTCTTTGTTTTTCTTCTTGTTGGTTAATTATATGGGTAACTTTCCTTGCACTGATGATCGACAATGGGGACATTGTTCGGTTTTAAGTGTGGGGGAGTTTTTGCATGATTATGTGTTTATATGGTTGATCAGGTTTAGGTCATGTAGGTTGTTTTCATTTTCTATTTTCGTT